TCTGAAATTTGACAAATTGAAGTTACATTTCTGTGAGCTGGATACTCGCTTTTGTGTCTAATATGAATAGAAACAATAGTGAGTTTGTTAAAGCGTCTTCTGGAAACTTTCAAAGTATCAAGTTGAAATTGAAGCTCCGAATGCTTCCATGCGTTACTATAGTAAATAAAAACGACTTTGAAACTGTCGGAAATTAGCGCGCACATAGAAAGAGAAACAATACGCTTCTTTGTTGTCTAGGACTCTTCGACTGCAAACAGCAGCACAGATCGAGTTACACCTCCAGCTGAAATTATACAAGTTGAAAACGAAAAACAACGAGAACTTGAGCATACAGCAGTAAAAGAAGGTGAGGTGGGGAAGATGGCCAAGGAGTTGTTGGACGAGGAAGCGGCTCAGAAGAAACTCACGGATAAAGTCTTGGATAAAACTAATTCGCTGTTGAACGAACTTCAAGAAGAACATAAAAAGTTGAAAGGGTTGGAGGAGAAGCGAACTAACCTTTATGAACATAAGGTCGATCAGGAACTAGAGCTCGAAAAGGAAGAAGCGGAAATCAAATCAAAACAACATGAACTTCGAGCAAAGAATCTCGCAGAAGAGGTCAGGAAACACGCAGCTCTACAAGCGAAACTCGAACGGGAAGAGAGACAACTGCAAGATGAACGAGCGGCAAAGACATTGTCTCTCACAAGACTACAGGAGAAGATTCGGATAGTAGAGGAACAGTTTGAAGAGGGACAAAGGGCTTTAGAAGAAGAACAGAGGCAAACAACCATATCAGCGGGAAAAGTCGAAGAAATTTGCCTTCAGATCGAAGCAATCGAACAAAAAATTCGAGATGCCATGATCAGCCTAGAGGCTCTATCACAAGAGCTACGTGATCTCAATCAACAGCAGAAGGAATTGGAGAAGAAAGAAGCAGAAACTAAAAAAACAATTGAAGACTTGGGCCAAACTCTTCGAAACAAAGAAGCAGGCCTTGCTCGTCTGCAAGCGGAAATAGAACGATCGAAGCAAGCAATCGAACGGCTCGGAGAACAACTCGAAACACTCCGTCAAGAGATCGAAGATCAGACGGAAACATTGGAGTCGATCAACACCGACTTAACCGACGCCGACTCCAAACTTGTGGAACTCGAGGCAGACAAGAAAGCCATGGATGAAGAAAAGCGAGCTCTTGAAAAGACGCATCAAACGATGAGCGACGAACTGAAAACGCTCAAACATCAACATAATAACATGCAAAATAAATTGCGCATGAGTGTCGAAGCGCTTTCACGTATACAAGCGAAAATCAATGAACTCGAACAGACCCTTGCCACTAAAACGGCTGAAGTAGATCGATTGCAAAAAGAACATGACGACTTAGACCAGAAGCGGATGAACATTACCGAAAAATGCGATGATCTTAATCGGCAAAAAGAAGAGACCATGCTTTCACGACAAAACGCCGAAACGGAATATCGAGAAGTGCAGCAAAAGCTAACAACTTGCAAACAGCAAGAACGTCAAGCCACACAAGAACATCAGAAAGCAATACGAGAGGAACAAACAGCTCTGGACAAGTTGAATGCTGCACTACAAGAAGAACGATATGCAGAAGAAAATGTTCGTGAAGCAGAAGCAGAATTGAAACGAGCAGAAAAAACTACCACAGTCAGGTTTGTTCCCACCCCTCCGTGGTTTTTCATTGGTAAAACGAATGCTCAAGTACAAGCAGTAGAAACTGCACGCACAGCTAGAAATCAAGCGAAAGACAAATGGCAAGCAGCGAAAACTGCAAGTAGCAATGCACGAGGGGCACACAAAACGGCACAACACCGTACCAACGAATGTAAACAACTGCTAAGCGATGCAAACAGTGAACGAGTCGAACAAGAAAAGAAAGAAAATGATTGTGCACAAACGCTTACTCGCTGCAAGGGCGAAGTAACGCGTTTAACGGAGCAACACAGGATTGCGTCACGGGAAAAAGTAGAAGTAGAAAGTGCGCTGAAAACAGCGATCGGTGCATTGCAACGTTCTCAAACACTGCTCAATACGGCCACCAATGAACTTCAACGTAATCAACAAGATGTTTTAACGCAGGCTGAAAACCAAGTGGCCGAACATCGATCAAGTGTTGATGACCTTCGCATGGATATCGAACGTAGTGAACGAAAAATTGAACAACATCGAGCCAACATGAATGAAAATGAAAAAAAATTAACCAAGGTCTCAACAGATATTGGACAGCATACGAATACCGTCAATGAGCTGAAAGCAAATGTGCTTCAAGTCAAGCAACAGCTCGGTTTCAAACAAACTGCTGTAAAGACAAAGGAGAACGAAATGATTCGGCATGAAAAAGTACTCAAGAGTGATACGCAATCAGTTGAACTAGTACGTGAAGAAATCGCAAGAGAAACTAAAGAACTTACTGACGCGACCAATGCTTTATATGATATAAAAACTGAGAAAAGTCGTGTGAATGGCGAGATCGAACAACTGCGAATCAGGAAAGGCATATTGAAAACTGAGAAGCAAGACAAGCAAAATGAACTCAAAACATGTCAGAGACTCTATAAAGAAGCTCAATCGAAACTTCAACAACAAGAAAACAACGTAGAAAATATACGTGGAAATCTTGATCGATTAGGAGTTCAAGATGAAGCACTGGCAGAAAACATTCGAAGTATGACAGCAAAACTCGACAGTAAAAGGCTTGAAATTCAAAACAATCAAAATGCTATACGTGAAACGAACGAGGCTATCAGTGACAGCTGTAAACAACATGAAATAGCTCAAGGAAAAGTGACAATAGCGAAAACAAAACTGACTTCATTGAAGACCCAAATTAAAGCCAATGCTACCGAATTGGAAACGGGTGAAAGGAATTTCAGCAAGTTGGCACGGGCACTTGGACTTGCAAATGACGAGAGTAATCGTGAATTGGAGAACAAGAAAGTCATACAAGAAAAACTTGTTCGACTTATGCAAGAGCGAACAAATATCAGGGAACGCCATCACAAGTATCAACAAGAATGCGACCAAAAAGTCCTAAATTTAACCGAACAAAAACAGTATGAATTAGCCAAACAAAAAAAGTATGAATTAGCCGAACAACAAAAACAGTACGAATTAGAAAAGAACCGTTCCCCACACTGTAAAAAAACCGTGGAATAAAAAACGTTTAAAGGGTTTATGAAAGTGCAACGTATAGCAAACCCTTTTAAACTGTTTATTAGAAGATTATAAACCCTTTCAAGTACCCCAAAATTCTTTCAAAAAGGGTTGATAAAAGGGTTCATGAAAGAGATAACTGATCCCATCAATCACCTCAAGGGTTTATGAGAGGGTATATTATCAGGATACTTAACCTCATCTACCACCTCAAGGGTTTATGAGGGGGTATATTATCGAGATACTGGATCTCATCAATCACCGAAAGTGTGTATGAGAGGGAATATTATCGGAATCAAGAAACTCATCAACCGTCTTAAGGGTTCATGATACGGTATTTTAGGGGAAAAGCTGGTGTCATGAACGTCCTTAACAGTTTATGAGATGATATATCATCACAACCATGAACCGCATCAGCCACCCACAGGGTTTATCAGAGGTTGCGCTAACAAAGAATTTCAATGAACTTAGCACTTAAACCGTCAATTCGAGTATTTGTCCGATTTTGCACTGACAAACGAGCACCTCAGCAACTAGTTGAAAGTAGAATAAAATACGCACCTCAACATCATAGATCCGTCATCCAGGTCATAGCAAAATAATATATAAGCAGCAGCAAAGCGCAAAGCGCAAAGCGGCCATAAAAATCGTCAATGGGATGTATGAAAGGAGAATAAATGAACCGACTTACCTTAATCCAAAAGAATCGGTTTACATTAATACGCGTTCACAATTGCCGAGTTGCCCGAAACAAAGAACATAAAGATAGTCGTAGCAACCAAAACATATTTCATTGGCCACCTAAAAATAAAAATAAAACAGAGAAGGATTTCAAACAGGTAATTGATAGTAACACAATCTCAGGTCACTCAAATCTGCCTGCGGATTCTGTCCAACTCTCTAAAAAAAGGGTATTCGAGGAAACTCAAAATAGGCTTCCGATAGTAACAAAATCTGAAACCCTTTAAGGGTTTCCGAGACACGGTTTCCGAGACCTCGGAAACCGAAAAGCCAAATAAAAATTTCCTTCGAATACCAATGCCGGAAACGGATTAAAGATTTCCGAGATTTCATTCGTCCCGTTCTGCATCGAGAATCACCAGATCGCTACAGCATGGACCGATCATTACACCCACCGGAAGCTGCAGAAACCGATAGGAAAAACACCTGAAGATTACCGTATCCTGTAGGGAAACACGGCATCGTTGGAAAATGGAAGCAGTATCCCACCCGTAAACTTTTCGAAGTTTTTCTCATGATTTCCAGCGCATCCTGCCGAAAAACACAGCAAGTTGGTCGGAACTGATCATAAAAAATCTAGAGTTTGCGGCGGGACACTGCTACCATGTTACAATGATATTATCTGTTTTCCGACAGAACACAGTGGCTTTCAAGCATCTTTTCTGTCAGTGTCTCCAGGATCTGGTGGATAGAAAGATCGACATGGGATGTTGGATCTAAAAAGAAATAACATATTTCATCGGCTTTTAACGTTCAAAAATCGAACTCACCATTCTTATTTGTTCATCTGACGTTGATCTAAACTGGAAAAAAAACAAGTAATCATCGCCACTTCGACTCACTTAACCCACGACTGCACAACGCAGACGCATTTTCTGTGGATACGGATATCGATAGGACTGTTCTATTAATTCTGTCCCTCAATAGCGATGGAAATTTTTCTCCAATTCTAAATCTAAAAGAAAGCACAGCATCAATGCCTACATCATCTTCAATTATTACACTCCTCTGTCGCAAAAAATACTACCAGATTATGAAATGATAATATATACTCAGCCAATCTAATACACGAATCCGAGAAAAACATTTCAATATAAGAGTAAAAAAATCTCCTTTCCGATCAGTTCAATTTCTAACCGATGGAAGCTTGAATCAAAAAAATAACGTCAGATTCCGATTCCTGGACCTCGATAACCTATTTCAAACTTTCATCAAAATTGAGAACGGAGGTGAAATAAAATGTCTAACTTTGTAGTCTGTGTAATTTGGATCTCCCGAGGTTAATCGCAGAAAATGTTCTTCTGAGATATTTTGAACTTGGATCATGTTCGATTTCTGAAATATTGAACATTTTAGAAGTATGAAAACCTTTTGCAAATTAAAAAACTCGAAAACCGATTTTGGTTTTCCAGAATACTTTTTTGACATTTAGTAGACTTGGAAACCGAAAGGGTTTGCGAATAATGGCTTCGGAAACCGAAAAGGTATTGTCGCATGCCCATTCGGATGCCAACTCAGTTTTTCTGGCCATATTAGTTTCCTAGAATACCCTAAAAGTTTCTGAGAATACGGTTTGGTTTCCGACAGTAAGAAAAACGTTTTGTAGAACACCTTAAGGGCATTGAAATCGGGATTGTAGGAAAACCTCGGGTTTCCGAGGTCTCGGAAACCGAAAATGTATTTTTGAAAACGCTTCGAGTCATCGGAAACCTGAAAGGGTTTCCGAGAGGGTTTCCCAACCGGTTTGAGTTTTCTAGGAAATGTTTTTTTTAGAGAGCAGAAAGTGGAGGATAATCTACCCTTAAGTGTAGAATATTCAACCCTTTTGTTGGCAACGTATAATATTCTACCCTTAACAGTATTTTAATAAATCTTCTCCAGAAAATGAACGATAATCTACCCTTAAGCGAAGAATATTCAACCCTCACAGGACAGCTTATAGTAATCTACCCTTAACGGTATTATAGCAAACGTTTATTCTGAAAATGAGGACGAATAAACCCACAGGCATTGAATAACATACGCTATCCTTGAATCGTAGAATAATATACGCCTGATGGTAAAATATTAAACCAATTTAAGAAATCCGTATATTAATCTACCAAAATTCGTTTAACAAAAATAACTCTTCCAATAAAAAGGCAGAATAAAAAACCCTTAAAAGAACTTCTCCTACCCTTCGCACAATCATGTACGCTTATGCTCATAGACCCTTCGACTAATGAACCCTTCAAGGGTATATGTCATCTGAATAAACCCTTCAAGATTTTATGAAAAAATAAATCAAGGACAAGCGTTGATTATTCTCCGCTTTTTTTTAGAGTGCAGCAAGCAACGCTCTTTGACAACTCAACTTGTCAAAGAGCGTCTTCGAAAATGAAGAATGAACAAACACCTTCGACTACACGTTAACCCAGAGTGAACCATGCAACACATTTTTTAGAAACGTTTTGCTTCCTGAAGCGCTTATGGAATTCGCTTAAATTTAATAAAAGTTTTGTGAGAGTGCGATCTCGCTTCTGTTTTCTTTTCCAAGGTTATTCAAAGTTTCACGCAGTACATCAGAATTCTGTTGAAAACTATAGATCAAATGCTTGACTGAGGTTTCGAAATTGACTTCCTACTGACATTCAAAGTCGATTTTTAATTGAGCCGTGTATCAATATATAATATATAATACGACTGTTTCTACTAACGTATACGGTCATTTCGTGTACTCTCAATTAAAACTGAAACCAGAAACTGTTGTACATTTGATTTTAGTACAGCTTTCACAGGGTTCACGCTTACTCTCCTGATTTTGTTTCGTTACTCAGGGGAAAATGAGGTAATTAACAATTCTGTGGCTGCGATAACGACATCTTATTTTTTATGAGAATTAGTTCAGCGTTATTTAGAACAGCCAAAAGAAAGAAAGCTCACCGCAACATAGTGTAGAAATAAACCGTTCGTCGTTTTACGAGATTTCTTTCAGAAACATAATTAATACACTACAAAGTTTCGATGTCTTTCGTCATTGATGACGATTGGTCACAAAGAATGGCAAGTATTCAAGAACGCTATGTTCCACCACCACCGCCCATGCCCATGTTCATTCCATCCAGCTCCACCAACAATCAAGCATATGCTCATCCGACAAGGCCAAGTGTTCCTGTCACAGTAACACACGAAACACGGATACTCGAGTCTCTAGTCGTGAAACTCTACCGTCAATATGATTATCCCGAATTAGATGCATTTGCGACAGAGTTAGTAACAACGAATAAGTATACATTCATCGAGAACAAAGAATGTTCTACCCTTCAACTGTATGCAATCAAATCCACAAGCAAACCAATCGATTTAAGTAATGTGACTAGTCGAAAGTCGTACAAGCCAAGTTTATTCACGCGCAAAAACGATAAATTTGGGCCGTGGAATTATAACTTTCTCCTAAACTTATTAGAAATTGAATACGAAGCAGACAATAATCAAGAATTTCCACCAATATGGCGAACTAACACAAATACAGAAGTGAAGTGCGAAATTGTACCGCAAAAGGAACACAGAGCTCGAACATCCTTTACAGCAAATACAAGTGATAGTGAAGTAGACAATGTGACGTTGTTGGGTACACTCATACAGATTTGTCGACAAAATCGATGTGATGAAAGCGATGCTCAGCTCTGGTTAAAGAACCTCAAAGGTAACATAAACTGAACACTCTTGCTTTCGGCTTATGCGTAGTTTTAAAAAGAAGAAGCGATGTATTCTTTTTTTTATTTAATGGAATTTTCCATTTTCACGGCCACTTTCGAAGGTACATAGCAAAGAAGAAGTCAGTTTTTCTATTGAAGGGATAAAACAAAAATAGAGGCTCTTTTACAAGGAAAGGCAAAAACTATGGCGTTTCCATTTTGATACAATAGCATAACAAGCATAAGAAAAAGTTAATATAACTCTAGCGGTCAATAGTTGCCATCAATTCGATGCCCAAATGAAGAATTTTTATCTAGATGACCAAAAAGAGAAATGGTTTAAATAGTAACGCGATTTGTCTTTCGTCTCAATAGAGGAAAACATCAATACGCTTGAACACCTTCGAAATGCTGTCACCAATGATAGTATGTGGGAAAAAGTATCTTCAATCAAGATCATGGTAAAAGAAATGATTCGTGACTTTTTGCAATTGAACGCTGCCGCTCACACTTTCATTCAAACAAAAAATCCATACATACAATCCAAGGCAACTTTGCTCGGTGATATTCATCGTGTACGTCGTTATTTTCACTACATAAACAATACATTAGATAATCTTTCACATCTCGATCCTGATGCTGTGAATCTAGCTATTGCCGAGGTTCGACGAACTTATGATGACGATGGCAATGTACTTAACAACATACATAACTATTTATGCACGTTTTGTCTAAAGAATGCTATACCATCACCGGAAGAACATGAACGACAACGTCGTGAATGGAAAAAACAATTAATCGCAGCGGAAAGTACATTGAAAACGAAGAAACAGGAAATTGCTGAGAAACAACCAAAATTGGATGAGCTTGCATTAGAATTGAAAACATTAGATTTGCGCTGTACAAATCTTAACTATTTGGACAAGACAGTTAACCAAGAGGCAGAAGCTTTCTTGAGAAAACCTAGTAACATACCTTTTGAGACGATTCATTCACGATCTCAGAAGCACCAAGAAGCCACAAAGAAGAAGAGCGACCACGAAAAAAAGAAAGCGAACGCTTCAACTGACTTAGCGCAGCGACAGCTCTGGTACAATGCACTCAGTGAAAATCTAACGATCGTGAAGGAGGCAATCATTAACTATGAGAAGACAATTGCAGGTCTCAAAGCGTTTCTTCAGCTCGACCTAAGAGATGAACATGGTAAACTTATGGTAAAATTTGGACGGGGCCTATTGCTTTACGGTCCACCAGGCACTGGTGAGTCTCATCTCATTGATAGAAAGAGCAACAAGATTTTAAATTTTTGGTTTCGGAAATGGTGAAAACAAGAACTAACTTTTTTCCTAAGTCAAGTATTCACTATAGTGAAAAGTGAGGTATTTCCAGTGTGAGCTACGATATTACGATTTCGTGTCAAATATGTTTCACGATAAAAATTGAAGTTTTCATTATTTTTCTCTATACAGGCAAATCTGAACTGCTCAAGAGAGTGGCCATCTATGCTGGCATTACGATGACAACCATAGCCCTGGCTGCCGGCGAGTTGAATCGACCGTATGTGGGCGAAACGGAAAAATTGCTCATTGATATTATGTCTCGAGCGAACACGATTCCATATTTGATTTGTGCAATGACAATTGATGAAATTGATGGTCTCGTACCAAAACGAGACAACAATGCTCAACAATCGAAAGTGGACGGTATCAGTGTGCTTCTTTCGCACATCGAAGGAGTGAAGAACATACCAAACTTGATCATTTTCGGTGCCACGAATCGACGAAATATGATGGACGAAGCAATACTTCGTCGAATACAAGTAAAATGTTTCGTTGGCCGGCCGTCACCCGAAATTCGGAAGAAAATGCTTCGTCCCCTACTCATGAAAGATTCACATACGTTTACGAATCAACGGCTAGACCTTTTGGTTAAAATAACAATGAATTTCAGTGGTGCAGCAGTTGGTGCTCTCAAGTCGAGTCTCATCGTGGCTCTGGATACTAAATCGCAGCTAACCGATGATCAAATACTCAGTTTGGCCAATAATGCCGCTAGGGAGTTTAGTTGTTGGTTCGGCATTGGCACATTGCCCGAAGCAGCTCGTACGCAACCAAATTTTCTTGCATCACATGATAACGAAGACTTTAGCCTTAAGCTGGTTGATCTTGCACCAACTGGTCGAATTCTTATTGACCTGCAAGATCGTTCGTGCGTCATTGAACTTACCAATGACGCGTCCAAAGAAAACAAGTTACAGAACACTGAAACTTCAGTACTTTCATTACTCTCGCGTTTTGTCAATGGTTGCCTCAGTCGAAATGTTGATTCCATTCAAATTATTGATCTCAATTTTCTTACCAAACAAAACGCATTCGAAGAAAATCAAATGTTTGAACTGCTCACCACTACTTTCCTTGGTAATTAAGTAGCTTTAAATACTAAAACGTATTATTTGTTACTGTGCTTTAGAATGTGCTGAATACAATCGGTCTATGATCGTCTTTGACATTGATTCGCTCATCACGTTGAGTGTATCCGGCTCACAAATGTCCAAGTCTGTTTCCATCTCAAATATTCGACTGTATCAATTTATTCGAGAAAAATGTAAATCAGCTTTTGTTGAAGCAAGCCCAAACGTAAACGTGAGTATATAGTCAAAATTGGAAAACGTCCCTACACCAAACGAAGGAGTCTGCACTTAAAAGACGATTGGTGACCACATCGAGAAATTCCGTTTAATGCAAAGCAGCTCACCAATACTTTGTATTACATTTTCGGAAGCGGCATGAAAAACTGGGCTTACGAAACAATTTTGAGCAAGTTTGGACTTATTTTGATCAAGTTATGGTCATTTCACACTGAGTAGATCGAAAAATCCCAAAGTTTCCTGAAACCGGCTTTCGGCGCTTTACAAACTTTTTTCTGAAATTGTTTTGATCCATTTCGGAAAGAATTCAGTTCTCTACAAAATGCACTATACTAGATCTGTAAGTCGAACTTGTATCATGTACAGAAAACCTTATTCACGTCAAAAACGGGTTTCAGAAAATATGGTGTTCCTCGTCAAAAGTCTTTTTCAAACTACAATTTGCTCTTTGAAAATCTAAAATGCACATGTTTCGATGCAGATTCATTTGCTCTTTCATATGAGATGTCGTTCAAAAAAAATGGATAAAAATGGTGGTGTTAACCGAGAATAGGGGCGGTACTTTATATTTACTTTACTAGTAAATAGGTAAATAGACTATTTACTAGTTACTTTTGTAAAGTAAATAAAATATTTACTAGTTACTTTTGTAAAGTAAATAAAATACTTACTATTTACTTTTTGTAACGTAAATAAAATATTTACTAGTTACTTTTGTAAAGTAATTAAATTATTTACTATTTACTTTTTGTAAAGTAAATAAATTATTTTTATGTGAGAATAATAATGAAGCACCATCACAGAAGTGATGGTCACATCTAAAATCATCTGATTATTCCATAACGCAGTGTTTTTTTGAGCTATCAGGAATAACTTTTCTTTTTGTTTCTTTTTTCCAAATGCCACTTCAGAATCACAGTAGATAGTAGATAGTATGTTGATCTATTCTTCTGGTTCGTACCAGTTTTTTTACTAGTCTAGTTCTTTATAGTTTTCGAACTTCATTTGGAATTAGCTCCTATAAATGATCAATATCTCCTAGTTGTTCGTTTGATCTGATGATCAATATGAGCTAAGGTTTTTTCCTAAATATTCTGGTATTAGTTTCAATTTCATAATCTTTATTTTATCACAAGCAAAGTCATCATTAAGAGTAGGAAAAACTAAACAAAACCGGCAGTACAATATCAGATATAGCAAAAATATATCATAGTAAAATTTTTCAACAAAAATACATAATTTCATACAGTATCAAACGACAGAATAGAACATATGTATAACAATCAACAAGAGAAACGAGAAATACTTATAATACATAATAAGTTAAGCAAAACGACGCGAAAAACATAGTTACTGCCAAGAAATATATTTCGATGGATTAGTTTCCTCTATATGGTTATAGCGTTTACTTTTTCACTTAGAACCTCAGATAGTAATATCGCTCTTATTCAGAAGAGAATGTGCACATGGAACATTGAATTTATTTTTTATACATGTACACATAGTTGACTTTTTTATTTCTTTGTTTTCATTTAATAGTACTGTAGATGATGAAGAACTTTACGTGTAACTAACTAGACTGCAACTATCTTATTTACAGTCGAACTAAATAAAAATAAAGAAATAAAAAAGTCAACTATGTGCACATGCATAAAAACAAAGTTTAATATTAACTGATCAAATTTATTTTAGTTTTTATTTTTTTCGTCTTTTGTTCCAATCAACATCAATCGAGCTTTTCTTGGAAAATACTAGATAGATTGCTTTTAATCGATAATCTCTATATCGTAGTTCATAAATTTAACATATATGATAGAATATATCACGTGTGCTTAAACACCAATTGAATATCTGATTGAAAAGAATACACTCTTAGCATCAATGACATTATTTTGTTTTAAATAAGCATTTTGATTTCTTGTAGTTCTCATTTGTTGTGAATTAATTTAAAGCGTAAGCTATCTTACACTTATTGTGTAATCCAATGAGTGCTTATTGAACTAGATCATAAATTCTTTTTTTAAGAAGTGATTGTTATAAACTTAATCTGAATATTGGATTTCCTTAATGCCTTATATTCATTTATCCCATTATACTATTATTATTGTATAACTACATTTCACTCTCCAAGTTAACTTTCATATTTATTGTTTTCTGTGTTTAATGGACACTCGTTTTCACTACTGCAGCATTACCCATGGAATATACTTTGAATTTTAATGCTTTTGAAAGTCGTCAGTTTCTCAAAAAAGATGTTTCTAAAGAAATTTTATTTATTTCAAGTAGATTTATTTGGAGTCTTTTCTTTCGATCAAAAACTATTAATCATTATTCCTCTTCATTTTCTTCACATCTGCGTTCACATGAAGAATGAAAGATTTAACGAATAGAGCAATAGCTGTCGTGTAATCAATAAACTTATCAATTTTTGTTTATAAGCGTAATATAAAGCATCTGCATCTTTTTTATGTACACATAATAATAAGGAAAAGTATTAAATGAGTATGAAAATTTACTAAAGCAAATATAAAATGATTCGTTTTCAAATAAACGTGACTGTCTGTTCTTAACAACTCTTGTTGTTCCTCCATCAGATCAATAGAATAAAAAAAGAATCTGTGATATTTTCTCAGAATAAACTTTTATTTCAATAGAAAAATAAATTTTTCTTCCTTCCGCCCGTCCGTCCGTGTAAAATTATTAATTTCAATAGTAATTTTATGCATAAAATTGTGATAGTCGAGCTCATGATATCTTTCTTTTTACTTAAATCTAATTACATCTAGTAATGATAATATTCGATAGAACAAAATAAGAAGGACTAATCGTGATTGCTTCGATCAAACATGTTTTCATTCGCACTTAAATTCATATAGAAAAACGACATCATTCATTCATTGTCTAGCCAAAATTTTATTCATGTTCAAGAATGAATATATCCTTCAGATATCGAACTAGACTATAGAAGTTCCTTTGAAAATAAATATATCGTGTGTGAGATTATTTCTTTAATTAATAGGATTATTTTATGTTATTACCTATTGGCGAGCTTAGTTTTTCAATTTTTATCTCAACAATCAAAACTACGTTTAATAATACATTTTTTCTGTTTTTTGATCAACTGTATACATAACATATCAGTAGACTCATTTGAGCATGGTCATGTAACGTATAGACATTTTTGACGAAAGAACGAAGTACATAGAGAAAAGACCAGACAGAAAAAGAAACATAGAAAAGAAAAAGTTGTTACTATTGGTATATATGAAAAATAAACTTAAAATAATATCAAAATCTCAATGAAATCGAGTATATCTCTCAAGAAATTGTTTATGTTTTTATTTTAACAGAATTTCTATATTACTTCAAACCTTTTCCAAAAGAGTATTATTTCAATATAGATTAAAAAAAGACTATTTTTTCACTTTAACAATCCTTGAAAATGATTCATTGCACCAATCATGTTTTGATATATTAAAAACACACTACTTTGTTGATTCATCTGGCAATTATTCCTAGTAAAGATGGTTCACTTTATCATTTAACGATAGAAAAAAATGATTAATAAGAATCAAAAGAAAATATTCCATATAGTTTCATCAAGCATATTTCAGTTATTAGCTTTCTTTTCATTATCTAAGAGGCTGCTCGCAATTGAGTTTATCTATTTGATGGATTCAAATTATCGACAAAACTGATACCTACAATCAAATTCACAGATTGTTTTGGCATCTACACTGTAAAAAAAAAGGTAGAATAATAAACCCTTTAGGGTTTATGAAAGTGCAACGTAGACTAAACCCTTATTACCGTATGTCAAAATTTTCATAAACCCTTAGAAGGGTTTATAAAAAGGTATTTGACTTTAATAAACCCTACAAGGGTTTAGTCTACGTTGCACTTTCATAAACCCTACAAGGGTTTAGTCTACGTTGCACTTTCATAAACCCTTAGAAGGGTATTTGATTTTTATATACGCTTTCATAAACCCTTCCAAAGGGCTTATTACTTATATCTACCAGATTAAAGTTAAGGTTTTGGAACTTACTGCGCTGTCCTAGGTTCGATCATGAGATGAATTGGTTGATAGTCCAAGATGTTATCCATTCGGTCAGTCGTATGATATCAAGATGAAGTAAGAAATGCTACTTAAATCAAACAAAATTTTATAGGAAACTGAAGATGATATAAAGTTAAGCGGAACAATTGTTATTACATTTTTAATTTTCATGAA